CGGCGTTCAGACGCTTTGCCTTGTTCATAGAAGAAGAAGAGTAAAGCCTAGTAGAATCCAGGTGTGGCCTGCCGAGCCTGCGGTTGTAGGTGTGGGGTTGGATTGATGTGAACATGTTGTTGTTAATTGGGTCTCCTTTTTGTTCCAATGCCACTCCCTCGCCATTAAAGAGCAACTTAACTCGCCCTTGTGCTGCAAACTGCGCCATCACTGAAGCTTATTGCTATTTCCTTCCACAGAGACAGTAATGGGTCTCTCTCTCTCTCTCTCTCTCTGCAAATGTTTATTGGTTTCTTCTTCCTGAGATGAGACACTCAAATAATTATAGACAAATAAATAAGTCTCATCTTCTGAAACTGGAAGCGAAAAGCAGAGGAAACGAAATGTAGGAATTTTCCATTTTCCATTTCCATGGGGGAGGAAGGAAATAAATACACTCCACGGAATAAACCGTTGCCACATGTTTTTGTGTGTTATTTCTTTTGTTTCGTTCCACTCCCTCTCGGAATATCTTCTGGCATATTTATAGTCAAATTCACAAATTTTTCACTCCATTATTTGCTATTGGTAAAATCAACTTTCTTGGTAAAATAAGACCTCTAAATACTTCCCTATCGCTCTGTTGTAGCCTCTCTCACTCTCTCTCTCTGGTTTCCTTGCTTCCTGCTCTTCTCATCTCTGCTTTCTCTAGTCTATCTGAAATTTCAGAACGGAGGAGGAGTCTCTCTCACGAACTCTGGGTCGCTCTCTGTCCTACCTGTGCAAGGTAACAAATCTCTCTCTCTCCCTCTCTCTCGCCCTCTAGCCCTTCACTTGCTGTGTTTGGGCTTAGTGTTAAGTTGCCCAGTCGGGTCTCTCAAATATGGCATGCGCCTTTTGATTTCATTTTTTTTGTTTTGTTATTATTATGGTAAATCGGTGTATTAATCTTTGTTTTCAGCTGTAATGAAAGTTTAATTTATGTTAGTATTAGAGCTTTCTTTTCATGTGCTTTAGCGACTGATGAAAGTTGAATTTATATTTGTTTTTGGGTAAAAAGCTTAGAGCTTCATTTTTCTTTAGCCGAAAGCAGTCATGTGGGTAGTTATATCCTATATTAACATCACATAAACTAAAACCCCATACAAAATGAGCATCCTCAATTTTGGTTGGCAGCTTCAGTATCATATTTCCTATAGTTGATAAGATCCTTGATAAACTCGGTCTGCATAGTATTATCCTTAGTCATATGTTGAGCCTTATAAATTGAGGAATTTTGTGTTGCTTTTGTTACAGTTGCATCTTACGTTGGACCAGAGTTGTTGCTCACAAGCAGTCTTGCATGCCTACTTCTGTAAAGTTCTCTCTTTGCAAGGCCAGTTTGTTCATATGACATTCAATTTATCGAATTCTGTTCCATTTTGTTTCTTATTCTGCAAAAAATTGCTGATCACACTAATGTCTGGGTATCACTTCTAAATTTAGCCATAGTGCTGATTTTTAGTGGCTTGGTGCAGACAGAAACATGGATATGATGGAAGTTCTTTTCAGAAGCATTACATCAACCAGAATTGTGGGTATGGGTTCTGTTGTTCCTTTTCTTTTATTTCGCTTGTGTCTGTGTTGCAAACGTAATATTTATGTATGTGTCTATAATGAATAATGAGTTTGAATATGAAACTTAGGAATTGGTTTTGTGACAATTTATTACGCAGTACCTTGATGAGAACAAATAGTTGATTCTGGCAATATTGGATAATCAAAACCTTGAAAAACTTGCTTAGTGTGCCCAATAAGTCCTCTCTCTCTCACACACACATGCTTTTATTTTATGTTTGTATTGTTTCTAATCTTGATTATGAGTCATCTTATGTGGACACTGAAATCTGCCTTTATGAGTATTTTTATCTTGGATATAAAGAGCAGTGATTTTTTTTTTTTAAATTTTGTATTTTAGTCTTTTTCTGACTTATCTGTCAAATTCTTTGATAAGCCTGAAAACAACACAACGAAGTAAGATCATGTCAAACTCTTGCAAAAAAAAAATAAAGATAGAATATGAATTAGTATGCATATATCAGCATAGCAGATGATGTTCACTACTGGTCAACTATACCAAACACGACAACAGACAAGCTATGTGTATCACTTACGCAACAACATAAATAGATATAATAACAATACCTAGCAGAAGATGGAAGAAATCAAGACAAATACAATCTTAGCAAAACTCATGAAGCCATCTGAATGCAAAATAATAATTCCTTTAAAAAAAAACTTTAAGAAGATAGAAACCTTCATTTCTTAAGAGAATAGTAAATAAACAAAGAAACCAATGAAAGAAACAAATTGCAACAATAAACTGTGGCTTTTTTTTTATTTTTTATAAAGGAAATAAAGGAACATGGTGGCACACCTTGAGGCCACTATGGAAGAAGTGAAGGCAGAGAGAAGGGCTCTGGCTCAGAGTAATCATAAAATCTTAGTCAATTGCTCCAACACCAAGACTCACACCCAAACATCTTAGCTATACAATACAAGCTATGCCAACTCCAGTTCTGTGGCGAATTTGGTGCTTCAACAGCTAAGAACTCCTTTCTAAAATTTCAGAGAGAGCAGAGAGAACATACTAACAAAGAAGAGAAGATGTTAGCAATTTCAAAATGAGAAGAAAAAAAAAGTGAAAAAAGGGTGATATGCGACCAATAGGAAGTATTTATAGGTCCTGTTTTACCAAGAATATCGAAAGGATTCTATTTTACCCAATTTCCCAAATATTATTAAAGCACCTAGGCTACTGGGCGTGTTAGTTTGGTCGCCCCACTCAAATTTGAGTTTTCTTTCCAATTTCTCTAATGTTGGGCTGCCACATGGCATACCAGCTCTCTCTCCCTCTCCCTCTTCCTCTCTGTCCCCGACTTTACATGGAAAATGACCTCCTCCACCTCCTCTATCTTTTCCCCCAAACACCCGATGCTAACAACACCATAGCCGCCGGAATCTTCTTTGAAAAATCCGGCCAAAACGAATGATATGTTTTTGTTTCTATTATGCAGTTTATGATTGTTTCATACTGAATTCTAAGCTTGAGGGATTTGCTTCTAAGATGCAGTTTATTATCCATTTTATATAGATGGAAGAAGGATAACTTTTCAATGTCAAATTGCTTATTACTATTTGATAGGATTTTTTATTGTAGATATTTGAGTTTACAAACAAAGTGTGGATTAAATTTCGTTAAGGATTGTTGTTTATTTTTGCAAATTGCATTCATCTCATTTTTTTAAAGATAACTGAATGAATGCTTGGATTGGAGGGACGCAACCTTTTTGTTCTATCTAATTTCCATATGTATAATTTTGTTGTGTAGGAATTTGAAGAATGGGTTTGAATGTAAAGCTCATGATTGCGGAGAAGAACAAGTTTCACGGAAATGCGTTGTCTCTATCATACAAGAAGACCGCCATTACTGCAATCAAGGAGAAGTTCAGTTCAGAGCAGTTGGAAAGGTTTAAGGGTAGTTGTTTTGGTCATCTACTACTCATTGAGGACCTAAAGTGGACTCCACAAATTGTCCATGGGCTGTTGCCAAGAAAGGTTGATCCGAAGACAGTTAAAACCGTGAAAGGTATTGCATTCTTGGTTGGTAATAAGTTGATACAATTCACGAAGCAACAGTTTTGCCTCATCAAGGGGCTAAGGTTTGGAAACCTCCCATTGATTCAGAATCCCACTAATGAAAACTGCGCTTTGAAGAATAAATACTTCCGGGAGAATAAAACTGTGAGCCTTTAGGAACTCGAAAAAGCATTCAAGGCTTGCACTGATAAGGAGGATTTAGTGAAGCTTGGTTTTGTGTATTTTGTTGTATTTGTATTGTTGGGTACCGCTAAAAATGTCAACATGGACATGAGGTATTTGAAGTTGGTGGAAGATCTTGATGCGTTTGAGAAGTATCCTTGGGACGCTGTGTCATATGCAAAGACACATGAGTCACTTTCGAGGGCACGTTATGCGGATTACCATCGAGTTAAAGTACCCCAAGAAACTCAAAAGAAAGCAGAGACAACGACGAGTGGTATGATTAGTGAGTATCATATTAAAGGGTTTGGATTTGCTTTTTAGGTAAGCAAATATCCATCAATGTTTAACTTAAATTCTGATTGTTGACATTGAGGTGCATAATTTATGGTTCAGTGTTAAAAACAGATATGGGCTTTTGAAGTGTTCCCAGCTTTGACTCAACTGCATTATGTTGTGCATGAAGAAAATGCCCTCCACCCACGCATCTTACATTGGAGGAGCAATAAGTTGGCAGGTTATAACAAGCTAATGTCTCATGTATACGAAAACATTGAGGTTAGTAATGGTTATGTTATGCATATAATTATGGTAATATGTGGATTTGATCGGTGCCAGTCCTTGAACCTAAGACCTGCTAACTCTTAGTTGTATCACAAAGCTAGCAAATCTAGGGAATCGGCATGTTATGCATATGATTAATTTATAATTATATTAAAAAGTGTACTTTGTGTTTCAATTGCAGTTGATGTGAAGTTCATCCGTCCCAATCAAATTGAGAAACAAAAAGCATATTGGATTTGGGGTGACGATGAAGAGGATGAAGAAAATGTTGAAGTGTATGACGACACAAAGTCCCTTGGTCATGGTGGTGACGATCATGGTGAGGGTGTTGAGGATAGGCAAGAAAATACAACCATTGGAATAGAAGAAGAGACTCTGGAAGTTCAGGAAACATCTAGCCTTCCATCGTCTTCGAATGTATATGACCATAACCTTTTTGCAATATATAGGCAATAATAAACTTAATTGTGGTGATATATTGTCAATCTATAGGCAATACAATAGCAATAAAGTCACAATAATCGTGTTATATATTACAGAAATATATAACAGTTGCATTATATCTTTTTGCAGGGCAATGGTAAACTCTCTTTGACTTACTGTTTTGATTTGAAAAAGGAGTTACCAAGTACAAAGGATGAGTTGCAAAGGGTAGCTGCTTCAAATCGGGCGCTTAAGAAGAGAGTGTGTGACTTGGAAGGGAGGGTAAAGAGTTAGTCTTTGAAAAATAAGAAGGCTATTGTGGGTTTCAACAAGATCGTTGCTTTGATGGAACATCATTTTATGTCGGTGATGGAGGAGTTGAAAAAAGCTTATGGTGCGTTGAATCGACCTGCTGAAGGTCATGAAGAACTACATACTCTTCAAAACAAGGAAGAAATGAATGACGTGGCCCCCTCACATGAGCATATTACTCAGACTACAGAGATTGAAGGAGGTGATGCATCAAGGCAGGAGCCTAGAACCATTGTTGCGAAGGCGGGTGTTGACATAACTGAACCAATGCTTTCGACTATGAAGGGTACTAGTCCTAGCACAGAGATTAAAGGACCCGATGTTGCATCAAACCCTGCTAAGAATGCTTCCCCTGGTTATACCCCAGATGATGGAGCTAATGCCTCCGCAAGCATGAAAGTCCAAGGGGCTGAAATGGAAACAAAAAATCATGAGAAAGAAGTTGAGCAAGAAGCAGAGATTCTGCCTACGCTTGAAGATTTCTGGGGGTGCAAAGTCCTTTGCAAAAAAAATTTAAAGTTGCTAAAGGGTTGGCAAAAGGAACCCGGAATGGCGTTGGTTACAATTCCGATGAGGCCTCCAATCGGAAGCGATGCTACTGTGGCTGGTGATAAAGTGAATGCGGAAGGTAGTGTCACAGTTGAAAAACAAGACGCAGAAGGTGTTAGGATTTTGGCTCGTCAAATATGTCCTAGTTGGTTTAAGATTGTTTTAGGAAAATTATAGGTATACCAATTATTGTCCTAGAGGGATTAGGAAAGAATTTCAGTTTTCCTTATTCAATTTAGGTCTGGATTTCTAGAAGTCTATTAGGATTTGGATAAGTGTAATTTCCTAATCCACTTAGGAATAGGAATTCAATCAGCCTTGGGACATGTAAGCCAACTCTATATCTATAAATAGGGTGTGCCAGGGCTTATTTTACAGCAGGAAAAACAGCCAGAGACAGCCGAGAGTTTTGAGATTAGTTCTAGGGTTGCAAAAGTTCTGTAATCTCTATTATTAATCAAAGGAGTGATGATTTCTCTACCTAGAGAAATCACAACTGGACGTAGGCAAAAGTTCTGCCGAACCAGTATAATTCTTGTGTGTTTCTAAGTTTTTTAATATTTGCTAGTTTAGTCTATTGCCGTTGGTTACATTAAAGAACAAGATCTGGTGTGCGGGTAATTTAACAGAAGGTAAAGGGTGTAGGAAGAAGCGGCCAATAACTGTGTTGTTGAGTCCCTTTATCGGTCCTATGGGAAAAAAGAGGAAGCTCACTGTTTTGGAAGGCACTCACTGCTTTTAATCCAACAAAACCCGTTCCCATTGAGGATGTCAAGGCTGTAATAGACTTCTGCACCACTTGGAAAAGCAATATAAGGTTAGGATTTAAAATTTTGGTATATTGTCCCCTTCTTGTTTTCTTTAATTTTTGTCTTTTTGGTTTGCAAATTTTAATTTTGTTTCTAATAATTTGGACACCCATGCTATACAATAATGTCATTGCATTTGACATGAAATGGTGTGAGAATAAATTGCAACACTTTGATGTCTGTCTGTTTGGAATGTTATGATCATTCCTAAGCATAAGGCCAATTTTTTCCATTTGGATTTTGATCCTTGGCTGCAGATCAACAGCATTCTAAAAAGAAGTGGTTTGGCACCTTTGGAAATGGCGGAATAGGCATGTGTTTAGTGGAGCTGATAATCTAGCCTTTAATCCTCGTTAGACTTTTTTGTGCTTCAGTTATGGAGTGGATTAAGGCTTCATCTGTGAATCAGAAGAGGACTGATGTGACTCAACTCCTTTTGGCTTGGGATCTTCCAGCTGGTGGTAAGTTTAAATTAAATGTGGAAGGTTCTATAAAGACAATTTCATGTTGTATTGGCGCTGGGGAGTCATCAGGGATTCTAAAGGTAATTAGGTTTCTGGTTTTGCCCTCAATTTAGGGAAATGCCAAATTCTAGAGCAGAAGTCTGGGGGCTTTTCTTTGGTTTGAAGTTGGCTCTTGAAAAAGGTCTCAGTGATCTAGGCATTGAAATGGACTCTTCTCTAGTTGTGAAACTGTGTCCGAAACCTTCTCTCCTTGGTTTGCACCTTATGGCCTCCTTGATTGATAGTTGCTGTGATCTTATGAAGCAACTTGGTAAATGCACCCTCAAGCATATATATGGAGAGAAGAATAGAGTTGCTAATGCAACTGCCAACTGGAGCTATAATTTAGATTTAGGATTGTGCACTTTTGACACAGCCCCTAGTTGGATTAGCTCTTGCTTAGTTGATGATGTTCTAGCTGCCCTTAGAATTAGATCGGTCTGTTTAGACCAGTGTGATTAGTTGGTTTGTTTCTGGGTTGTTACCCCACCCCCCAAACCCCTCCAAAATAAAAATAAAAATGATAGTAGTTGCTCGCTTCATGTAACCTTTCGTAACATTTCCATGTATACAATAGAATCTTTTAGTCAATACCTCCCCAAGTTGAAGCCTTAGATTTATAAACCAGCATTTTTTGTTATTATAGTGTGGAGGTGCGGCTCGAAGCGATGGCAGTTGGGCAAGAGTTTTTCTACAAACTCATAAATGATAGCCTTTGGATGACCTCATCGGTAACAGTTTCAATCTTGCTTTAATTTTAAAATTAAATTCACTTGTCTTCTTTACTATGTGTACATGCATATTAAAATAAGCTGTTATTATCTACCTCAACTAGCAGCACCTTGACATGGGGATGTTTCTGATACGCAAAAGGCAATTTGCTCATCCATTGGTGGTTGGAACCAATGTTTTGAAAGGCGAGGCGCTAGGGTGAGGCGTTTTATGCCTTATGAGGCGAGGCGTAAGCCTCAAAGCCTTGAGGCGTAAGCCTTTCGGGTATTGAGTTATTATAATTACAAAAATATAAAACAGCTATTGAATGTATTGAATGCCACTCTAGAGTATAAATTAACCATCAAACTTGTTTTTTCAAAATTTCTCTTACTATTGCTCAATTCTTTACCATATATCCTTTTGGTTATATTATCTCTCTAAGTCTAGTGCCTTTCTACCTAGTTCGAATAGATAAAAGAGTAGATTATGGAGGTGGACTGAACTGATGGTGGAAGGTGGGAGGCAGTTTCTGTTGGTCTGTTTAGGAACTTTGGCTTTTGGGAGAGGGAAGGAATAAATGGGTAAGCTGGTTTCTTTTGAACAAAACGGTGCATGTCTAATGTTCAAACTTAAAACTAAAACGCACAGCTTAACTAAAGGGAAACGAAACAACACGCCCGTGCAAACGACGTCGTCCGAAATCAGATTTTTCAAATAAAGGAACTCTGTCTTCCTCGCGAGGCTTGCACCTTTCACAGCGCATCTGCGTTTAGCGGCCGCCTCAACTTCAAGGTGTACGCCTTTCATGACATTTGCTAAACTGAGCTGCGCCTGAGGCGAATCACCGCTGCCTCGCTCCGAAGCGCGCCTCAACGCGTGCCTAGGCATGCCTTTGAAAACACTGGTTGGAACTGACTGGATGACTGCTGATTGTTGTCTGCAAGTAAGAACGTGTATATGTAGTTCAATTTAATGTATTTTCTGTATTGGTGGAAGTATTGGTTTATTATGTTAGGTGCATTTGTGCCTTATTTTGTTATGTGCCTTCAAATTGTTTGCAGACATTTTTAGAACCAGTAAAACTGCCTCTGAAAAAGTGAGGATCGAAGAAACAAGATGTTAGGGTTACCGAGGATGCTCCACTTCAATGCCAGGCCAAAATAGAGCTGTATGTGCAGGGACTTTGGAAACATGGGTATGCTATACCATGGACCAAAGTCCGCAAGGTGTATGTCCCCTTCAATTTTGGAGGGTGTCATTGGGTCGCACTTGAAATCGACTTCGTGAGGCGCACATTCATTGTGTATGACTCCTACGTTAATTTTACTGCTCAGAAGAAGGTGGTACAATTTCTTAAGCCTATTAGCCATGCACTTGCACGTATTCTTTATGATATGCGATTTTATGAGAGTTCGGAGCTTCAAGAGGTCAAGAAAATGGCGACTTAGAAGCCGAACTTTGAGGCATGGACAATTTGCAGGCATGGAGATGTAGGCCTCATCATTTGGCCCGCGGGCTCATGGGCCGATGGGGGCCATTATGGGCTATGAGATGGCCCGGCCCGCCTTGGGCTGGGCTAGGCTTGGGCTTGGGTGTCTGAAGTCCGGCCCGGCTCGATTAAGCCCAAGAAAGCCCGGCCCGGCCCACCCACAAAAACCTGGCCCGTTAGGCCCCCATATATATATATATATATATAATTATGTGTAAATAAGAGTTTAGATTTAGGATTATATCACTTAAATCACATATATAATTTGTTTCATTTCATTTACTTTTCTTTACTCATTTATAGTTTATAACTGGATGATTAGCACATTAATTTGTGTCAATTATTAATTCAACAATTATATATATATATATATAAGATGAACAACATATCACATCACCAAATATAATTATATCACGAAACATAATCGTACCACCAAATATAATCATGCTTTTCTTGGTTTTATTATTTTTGTGAAAAAACTTATAAGTTGTGTGACTTTATTGGGTGTTTTATGAATTTGGTTTGAAGTGAAAATATTGGAATTAAGTGAGTTTAATCTCAAATTTGGACTAAAATGCCTTTATGATTAAGTTCATGATTTTTTTTTAATGAAGTAGGGCCCGTTTAGGCCCGGCCAGGCCCGATGGGCTTTCTCAAGCCCGGCTCATGGGTCGGGCTTGGGCTTTGAATTTTCTAAAAAAATTCGGCTCGGCCCCGGCAATATTTTCTCTCTCCTCTTTAAAGCTCGGGCCGGCTTGTCTCAAGCCCATTAAATTTGGGCCGGGCTAGCCCGGCCCGGCCCCTTGACGAGCCCTATGGAGATGTTCCGCAACAAGCTGATGGGTAAGGTGTAGGAATTTAGTGGAGTTTATATTTATGTTGTAATCAAATGCATCTCTAATTTGTTTGCTGGACAGTGCTTCATGCAGAATTTTTGCAATCAAATTCATTGAGTATGCCAGTGCCGGGCTTCCATGTCATACAATTGACCCTTCGAAGGTTGCCTATGACCGGTTGAAACTCGCAATAGAGGCTTTGAGGGAGGAGGGTTATCTATGAGGTTTGAGGCTTAGTGTTATTACATATTATATCCATCTTTTATCCACCTTTCAAAAATACATCCTATGTATCAGTTATGCGGCTTAGTGGTACAACATGTGTTGTATGATGGAGGGCTAATATTGCAAATGTTCTACTCTTTTGTATTATATGACAAATGTGCTACCTAGAAACATTAGCTTATGTTTGCTCTCATTAAAATATACTTGTTTTGGATTATTTTCCTCTAAGAGGATGAAAGGTAGAATCAATGTTTTATGAAAGGCTCAATTTTGTGAATGGTTTTGGTAACATGCAAAGTATATGTGATGATGTACTTCAATGGGGGGTGGTTTTTGTATTGAATTTGGGAGTCAAATTTAAATTGACCAATGGTTTGATTTGGTTTCGGTTTGGCATGTAATGTATGGTTACATATAGAAACTAAATTTTACTATCAAATTGGATATAGAATTGGCTAAATTGGAAAACACGACACTGCTAACCTTTGAAGGAAGGAAAGTTACTCATACGATTAAGGCTAACCTTGGAACGAAGGAAAGTTATTCTCTTAGGGTTGAGGCCAACATTCAAACCGTACAACAATGCATATGCCAGAAACAGCAATAAGGAGACAATATAGATATATGCCAGAAACAGCAATAAAGAGACAATATAGAGGGGAGATTCTCCAATAAGTATTTAATGTTAAAGATTGATTACATATTTTTAATCTCGACCGTTGAATTGCATGTATGTTGCATATTAAATTTACCAACACATCTAATAAACGCAATCCAACAGCCGAAATTAAAATATGTAACCAATCCTTAATTTAAGTACTTTCAGTTTAGCTTTAATGTGAAGTCAAATCAGGGACTTGAGAAAACCCAAGGGGGAGTAATTAGATGGAACTGATTCTCTATTACTAAGCGTTTATTAGTAGTAATTCAATATTATTATTAGGTAACAGGAAGGCGACTGCAGGGACCCGAATACTGCTCTCTCTCTCTCTCTCTCTCTCTCTCTCCCTCTCTCTCCACTAATGCAAAGCTTTTATTAATTTAATTCCCTTTTTTTTGTCACTCTTCTATTGATATCCACAAATTGCAAACTTAGGCCAGCAGAATGAGTTCCAACAAGTGAAGTTTCTATTCTACTATCAAAATTGCAAGTTCTTATTTATGAACTCCGGGATCACAATCTCATCAATCCTGGCTTATCTGCCACACTGAAAACGAAGCTTACACTGTAAATCTTAACCCTTTCTTTCTACACCCAACCAGAAAATAAGCAAACAAAAACTAAAAACTAAAAATGTGTTGCAATGTTAATTGCCAATGACAGCACCGGAGCAACGTTGAGAGATGGGTCTGCCAGCAACAGCTAACATGTGCAGTAAGTATGATCTAAGAATAAGATAAGCGAAACCAATTAGCAATATAGAGCTAGAAAAACATCCAAAATTAAGATTTCATCAAGCAACAGATTTTTTGTTTTTGCTCTTGGGAGTGAGGGAGACACACCATTGCTCGACCTTCCTGAACTCTGTAAGGACAGGGGATGTGTTCTCAAAGGCATTATACATGAACTCTCTTACCTAAGAAAGACAATCAAATTAAAAAAATCTCTATTTGCAAATGCAGGAGAAATAAACTAGAGGAAGTGGACAAGAAAAAGCAAATCACCTTTGCACCCATAATAACAATTTTCCCTGACAAATATAAGAACAATCTTCCGCTGCTTCATGCGATTGATCAGCCCTGGAAAACGTTCCGGGTCATACTGCACCAACATAACACAACATAAAGCATGACAGCAGAATTTTTCAGCCTGTTAGGTCTATCATTTAGTCAAAATTTTAAACTGCTAAAATCTGTTTGTTCCCTATGATTCAGGTGGCCACATACATTGTCGCATCATAATGTTGTTTCAAAGTAAGGGTTGTGTCTAGGATTCATGTATTGGGTAAATATATAGTAGTCCTTGTATTGGTTGAATGTATGTATGGATTCATTGTATTTCTGAGAGGGAGTCATGAATTACATTTAGTAGTCAGGCTAGTAGAGCTTCTTAAGTAGGCTTGTAAACCTTTATTTTGGGACATGAATGAATTTACAGAATTTTCCAGCAAGCATTTGTTTATCTCTAGGATGTGATGCCCAGGACAGATAGTCAATAGACAAGAATTATGAAAGGGAAAACAAAAACAATACACACAAAATAAAAAGCTTAAAAATTACATCAAGTACTGACATGAAATACAAAATCCTGGGACAAACAGTCTTGACTTACACTTGAAAAGGCCCCATGGGAGAGTATGCAAGACACTCAAGTCTTATAGGGAATTTAACATCACAGGAGCCAACAATATTTTGAATGATGAAATCCTGATACTCATAAAAGCATGTATTAACAAAACAATCAAAAATATAAAATATAAAGGGGACTTGCTCTAAATGGTTTTACAAGAGAGAGAGAGAGAGAGAGAGAGAGAGAGAGAGAGAGAGAGATATATATAATATATATATATGTATATGCCCTTGCAACCTTTTAAAGATTCACTAATCTAACTAAATGAAATGATAATTATGTAAAGGATAATCACCAATGACCACTCCTGATTGTGACCAGTAACAAAGGACAAATTATTTTCCATCACAGACTCACAGTACTTGAGGTTGATACTAAATCTTTTTAAGTAAACAAGGGTAAAAGTCCATTGTCACTCTACTATGCCTAAAAACACATCAAAATATATGAAAAATCCCATATATATATATATATATATAGAACTATTTTTTTTTTTTAATGGTAACAATCTGTGAGGAGCATGCAACATCTACCTTCCTTGCTGCCACTTCTGATTGCTGTTCACTTTTCGTGCCCGTGCATACCTGAGTACCAGAGAGATTAAACATCTTAAACAGCGGCAAAAAAGGTATAATGGTCAAAATTTAAATTATAAACAAGGCAGGAGGGAAAAGGGAGGGGGGGCCTATCACGTTCAAGGGGTCCTGAGAATGCAATGCAGTAATCAACGAGCGTTGCATAAGTAAATTTTTTAAAGCCAGTTTTAGCCGCAGAAGTGCAGGTGTGCAAAAACAGGATCTTATGAAATTATTGACCAACCACCCATGACTTATGGTAGTTCCAATAAAAGAGACTGAAAACATAATTTCAAAACGTGATAACTAATTCAAAGACATTTGAAATTTTCTTTTTTTTTAGGAAAAAAAATTTATTGCTGTAAGACAATAAAATACAAGGTGGCCAAGATAGTGGGGAGTCTAAATAGCGAAAACGCATATAGACCATGCAAGACCTAAACTTCTAACAAAAGGAAAACACATAGAAACAAATATATCTTGCCATCTTGAGCATCAAAAGTTGTCAATTTCAGCTTCAAGGTACTGTAAATTTTTGACAAAACATGCAATCCAGATAACCAGAACCAATATCAAACATAAGCTTCAATTTAGACTTAATTATCAAAATTAGCTGATGACAAAAACAGGAATTTATGGCGAAGAAAAAGGGAAAATACATTACTAATACTTAGCATGAAAATTAACACAGTCATGTATGTGGAGTTCCAAACACATATCAACAAATACATAATCATGTCTGAACTGTACCCAAATAGACATGTCAACAGATAATAGCACAATCAATTGGATTATGATATGAAAAACATAACAAGAAGTAGGATAAACTGTTCTTTCAGATCTCATATGGTTTCAAAGGTGGGACTGAACAGGAGCCTGAGAGATTCAAAAGCATACCAGTTCCAAAAAATTTAAAGAAACAAAATTAGGAATGGCTGAAATGAAATCATGCAGTTATCAGCAAGTTGAATAGCAGAAATTTCTGGATAGCTCACCATCTTCCCAGAGGCAAAAATCAACGCTGTAGTTTTTGGTTCCCTTATTCTAATAATGACGGCGGCAAAACGCTGCAAGAACATTCAATTAAAAAGAAGTTAGTACTCAATTCTCCTAAATGTCTAAAGCACCAGAAAATAAGTCATTGTATGTTATTGACACAATTTAAGTTTTCCGGAGATAGATCCATGTGTTTGTTCCAGGGGTATGAGAGAGAGAGAGAGAGAGTTCGACAGAAATTAAACCAATTTTATAGGAGGCTCAGGAATCACTGAATGCTGGACTCAGCAAAGAAAGTCAGTCTTTACTTTGAGTATTAGCATCACATCTGAGTCAACTACTGCCTAAAGAACCCACTATAACATATTTCGGTAGAGTGAGCTACCAACACTCAACTCAACTGTCAATACACTAAAGAAATTAATTATACACAAAGTCTTGTGTACCTTGGGGTTGTATTCTGCATTCCAAGCTTGCAACGCAATTTGCCTGAGATCCAGCCTGCAACCAAGTAAACTGTAGATACGATATTCTCGCAGGGCCTTCCACACCAATTGGTTTGTGAATGTTAGCCTCAATCATGATAGAACTTTCCAGGATGCTGCAGGTGGCAGGCCCTCTTTTGGTCCAAGCTTACTTCTTTTCTTTACCCCTTGTGACAAAAATAAATAAATCATATTCTAGCTTAAAAAGTTGAAGAACCTTGAAGAAAAGAACAGTATCCGACTTACTTTTCCAGGGCTTTAAAAATAAATAAGACAGTCATCTCCTGGAGTGAGCATCAACAATTGTCACCAAGTCCTTAAAAATTCAAATTCCAAAAAGCGGCAGTAGCTGGCAGAAATTGGTCACAGAAATTTGAACTGGTCCAAATATCCAAGCTAGTTCACATGACAGAAGCTTTGTTTTTGTTTGTCTGATAAAAGTACGTTAAGAGTTAACATGCTATAGTTCTAGATAGACCTATTAAAACATGTCACTAGCTAACAGTCACTAAAGATTTAACGAGCCATGGTCCCTAAAATTCTGTGCAAATAGCAATACAAGGAAATTGCTGGTTATAGTTCATACCATGGTCTTCTATTGGAGGAAACTTGAATCGACTCAATCATAGGACAATAAAGTGATTTGAAATCCTCGATGGAAACATGGATTCTGGCAAGCTTTTGACAATCTTACCAGTAATCTCTACAAGAACACACACCATCTTTGAAATGATGAAAACGATAAGCATCCCGTACTATGATAGTTCGATCCGAAATCTTTGACATGTACTTGATCCAATTATGGCAATCATTACAAACACGAAGATTCTTAATTACACGTATAGGGATCGTATTAGATAAGCTGAGTAGGCCAAAAGAGATTGCCAATTTCTCACTGTGAATATACTCTGTTGGATCTTTCTGCTGCTGCTCTATTTCATTCCAAAGGTTGTAGCGGTCTTCAACATAACCAATTTCAGCTGCCCGCTCATTCAAATCCCCTAAGAATTCATAAATCTTATCTGCAAGCGGGTGCAGTTTGTCACCAACAAAGAATGCATGAACTGAGTTTTTTACCTCAATCCAGCTACGACCAGGCTCTTTCTTCACACCCCTTTCCTTCATTAATTGCCTCGTCTGATCCCTACAA